CCTTTTATAATAACCATTGATATTATTTGATACCACACCAAAACTGAACATGCAATAGTCTTTGAAATTGTTTGCAATCTGGAATCTGAAACTGCAACAATGAACTTTTCCTACTCAGTTAAATTGAAATCCATTGATTGTCTTGTACTTTGACTGGATCTCTTGCCTGTGCACTAATTTGTACCAATGGATTCATTTGGAAATTATTGGTCTATTGGTTATGACAACCTTTTGAATGTATTTACTTCACAATAATCACCACTCATCAGAGAATTCTTTAAGCTTTGAGAAACTGTCAGATTCACACTTATAGATAGTTTCCCAGGTATTGCTTGAAAACTTGAAATTTTCTTACAATAATACTGCCAATTATTTTCCTTAATTTGCCACACTAACTTAATTTATTTATGAGAAAGTATCAGAAACCTATGTCTGAGTAATTGTATTTTATTGCTGGTTCTTCAAACTAAACACACACACATACACACATACACACACACACATATACACACACAAACAGCAGTAGCAACAGAAATCCTGAAACCAGCACTCATTTAAGAAAGTAGCAAAGTTAGTTTGCAATTCTAAAAATTACCCATGTACTTTTCCTTGAGGTAACTCTAAACCATCAGACTTTGTAGATAGCAGAATTGCTTTATGGATAGTTTCCATTTTGTCACACATAATACTAAAGAGATTGCATTAAGGGCCTGATTTTAAAAAGTTAGCTGTTTTTACTATTTCAGGGCATTCTTAAGTTAATTTGACTATGTGTATGGTTGTATTTGTTACTACAAAATTACTAGTACATTTTGACAGCACTGCCTTGATATATGCTAATGAACAAGCAGTTTAACCCTCTTCGCTTTTGTACCATTACTGTGAATGTCAACAAAGTTAAAAGGACAAATAATATCTTAATATTATATTACAGGAACTATTTTAACCTCTAGGGAGCCCCCTGAAAGCATCACTTCCAGAGGATCTGTGAACTATATTTGAGAATCTGTCTTTAGTCCACAACTACCAAATTATACTTTTTTCAGCTCTTTTAAGAATTGCAGTCTTTAGACTTGCTTTTGCCCATATAAATCATATTCGTGCCTCCCTGCCTTTTTTATAACACATACCCTCAGTCTATAAAAATAGTAATTCTTTATCCAACCACCCTTCAATGGATCATCCTTTTTATCTTGTGCCAATTTTTTTCAACAAATAGCTTATTTTCCCTATTTTTCCTTCTAATTTGAATCACACTTCAATCCTTTAAAGTTTGGTTATTCTCTCCAGCACTGCAAGTCTCCCCCTCCACAGTGAAAGGTTTAATCCAGGAGGTTATCTTTATTTGGCAGCATTTATAACAGTTGACTACTCTTTGCTTCTGATTTTTTCCTTCCCAGAACCTGTCATGTTTTTCTCTTACCCTTTTTTTTTGTAATCTGTCAGTCTACATTGCTGACTCAGCCCTTGATCACTTCTTTAATGTTTCCAACTTCATTACCTTTGTGTGTGTGCTCATTCACGTTAACTGACATGTTTTAAAAGATTGTAATTGCTCTTTCTAATCCTAACTTCTGTTCTGAGCTCGAGACTACTTCTAAATGTTGCTAAAAGGTCTCACATTTTTTGAAACTGAATGTTGTCTTCATAGAAACAATGGCCCCACCCCATTATCTTCCTTTTGAAAACTTCAGCAAGCATTAATTGAGTAATGGCAATACATCATACTGTGGAAAAATAGTGTTCAATAAAATGGTCAAAATACCTATAAGGTAAAGTGGACAATGAATAAATAAACAATATAATTTCAGATTACAGTAAATAATCATTGTGCTGGAGGATGATAAGAGAGACTGCTTAGATAGGAAATATTTCTTTGAGGGGTTGACTTAGGTCCTGAAGAATAAGAATGATTTAGAGAAGAGAGTAGGGGAAAGAACATTTCCTGCAGAGAGAACAGCAAGCATAGAAGCCCCAGAAAAAGACCTTGGGATGTTCTAAAGATTGAAGGTCATTGCAGAGAATGAAAGAGTGAACTGAGGGCTGGTTGGATTAGTAGATCATCCTGAGTCTTTAAACTATTAAAAGGAGTTTGCATTTTATTCTAATTAGATTGAGAAGTCATTGAAATGTTTGAAGCAGATTGTGACAAAATCTAATTTTTATTTCTAAAGTATTCTGGAAACTCTGATGAATAGATGGAATAGATGTGATTTAAGGAGATAGAGAGGAAGTGGAAGATCTATTTGAAAAATTTTAATAGTATTTTAGGTAAGAAATTATGGCAGTTGAAATGTACATGCTCGAGATTATTCTGGATCCCTGAACCAAAGGATGAAGCCTAAAAGAAATCAGAATTTTTTAGAGGAAAGGTTAGCACGTGTTTCAAGCCAAGAAACATCATTTACAGAGGGTGAAAAATGGAATATTTGAAGACCTGAAAGAAGCCCAGCATATTTGGAGTCTAAAAAGGGAGAACTGTCTGGGGTGAAGGAGGAGAGATGGGCAGAAGCCAGTATACACGACCATATAATTTAGACTCTGTGTCTGGAGTTCTAAACCAGGCTATGTTTGGGGACTACCTGGTTACTCGCAGTAATGGAAATGCAGGGAATAGATGAAATAGCCCAGGTAGAATGTATAGGAAAAAGAGCAGAGATCCTAATGCTTCCACAGTTAAAAAGAGCTGATCTGAGAGACTGAGAAGAAATAGAAAAAAGAAAACATGGAACAAGAGGGACCAAAATTCAAAGAACAATGATTTTTCAGAAGTTCTAGTAAGCATTTGAGGTGATTCTCTGAGAGGTTAAGTAAGATTTGGAAAATAGCCTGTATTGGTCACATTGATGAATGTTGGGTGAGAATGCCTTTGGTATAATCATAGGTTAAAAAACCAGATTGGTGTGAGTTGAATAACATGTGAGATAAGACAAGTGAGATACTATATTTAGTTGGGGAGCTTTGAGAGAACAAAAATGAGCAAGTGTTGGCTGGAGTTTTTGGTAGAATCTTAAAGACTTTTGTAAAATGTGAGATACACATTTAAATGCTGCTTAGAAGAGAGACTGAAGGAAGAGAGAAGGTAGAAAGGAATGAGTATGTCTTGTTTGAATTGTTATCACCATCTTAAACTAGAAACCTCAGAGACAGTTCTAATTTCTTCTATACCAAGGCTTTGCTCCACTTACACATACTAATCAAAACTTAATTTTAATTATCTTACACATCAACCAAATCTTAATTTTGCCCCAAATATTGTCTAAAATAGTTTTTCTTCTCCACACGAATGTTGCTTTTTTTAGGTTGGCTTTTATTAGGGCTCTTGAAACAAGCCTTATCCCGTTCTGGTTCTTCAGCAAACATGAAAAACATTGAGTGATCATGCAACTACTAGAAAGTCTTGCCTGGTCGAATACTGGTTTGGTCCTTTGCAGTTCAAACCTCTTGTCATCTTCAGCTCCTCCCATTTGCCCTCTCCTCCAGCCTACCCCATCCTACCCTTTAGCTACATTAAATTTCCCTATGATTCATAAAATTTCCAGCTTTTACAATGCTTTTTCTTTTAATAAATAATATTTTAACTAAATTTCATTTGCTTATCCTTTTTCCCCCACCAGAGTCTTATTCAAGATCATTCTCAAACTTATCTTTTATGACTTGATTCAGGCAGAATATATTGTATCATTCTTTAGCCAAGGCACTTTCTTCATTCTCTTGTTACAACATTAACTTATTCCTTTTAGTAATCTTCTATTTGCATGTCTGTCTTCTCTGGACTGTTGTTTTCTCAAGACTAATGATTGTAACATTTATGAATATATCCTAGAGTGAATGACCAAGTTGTAATCAGTAATGAACTTTGATAGATTCCTAGCATGTGGAATTTTAAGAATAAAAACAGGCCTAGGAAATTGAAATGCTTACCTCCAGGTTATCTAGAAAATAACTGGATTTTTCAGACTTCTGGCTCAGGGGCCTCTGAAGAACTTCTGTAGTCACTACCAATCAGTGCAGGTAGGATAATGTTTACATAAAGATAGAACTAATATAATCACATTTATCGTCTATGATGCCATTATTAATTTACAGAATGTGACTCAAAGATTGAAATTAAAAAAATATATGGTTGGAAGGAGTCCTAAAAATTCTGTTGGAATTCAATACACTGTCTAGTCTTCCTTAGAATAAATTAAATAATTTAAAAATCAGGGGCTAAAGGTGTAGGTCACTGGTAGAACATGTGCTTAGGTTTCTTCCCCAACAAAATAAATAAAAAACTAAAGTCAGATTTAGTGACTTTATGACATTTGCCAGTAAATGGGTAGAGCTAGAGACTATCATGCTTAGTGAAAGAAGCCAGTCCCAAAAAGCCAAAGGTCAAATGTTTTCTGATATGTGAAAAGCTAACCCACAATAAGTGAATAGGGGTGAGGGAAAGAATAGAAGTTCAGTAGATGAGACAATGGGAAAAGCAGGAAAGGAGTAAAGATAGGAAAGGAAAGACAGTGGAATGAATCAGATATAATTTTCCAATGTACATATATGGAAACATCACAGTGAATCCTACCATCATGACCATCCCCAATAACAGAATCCTAAGTAGAATAAGATATATTTGATACTTGTATGATTATATCACAATGGATTCTACTGTCATGTATAACTAAAAAGAACAAATAAATTTTTAAAACTTAAATTTAGTGTTCTTTTATTCAGTTGCACACTTCATCTTCCTAGAGTGGTCTCTAGGTGCAAAATTATGTGTGTGCACGCATGTGTGTACATTCACTTGTGTGTATTTGGGAGGGCTAACATTGATTGCATAGCTTTTTTCAAAGGGCTTTTTGATCCTCCCAAAAGTGAAGAACTAATGTACCTGTTAACATGTAGGTATTTGCTGTTCTGATAAGTGATTGTTCTTTAAACAAAGTACATGAAAAATTCGTTTAGCTGCTTTTTGAATTACATTTTTAATCTTTGCTACTTGCTTTCATTTTTAGGGTTTGTGTTTAGTGAATCAGAGGGATCTGCATTAGAACAGTTTGAAGGTGGCCCCTGTGCTGTTATTGCACCCGTTCAGGTAACATAGACTACTTTACCAACTCCTTAGAGGGACATATTCAAACGTTTCATATTTGGCATTTTGTTTTCTAATGTCTGTACTCTATATAATTATGAGACATGGTCAGTTAATTATTTTGCTCATACAGATTTCTATAAATATCTAAAATAAAAATGAATTCAGAACATGGTGAGCATGGTGTACAGCAGTAGCTTCTTCTCTGCTTTCAAGGAAAAATAATAGGACTTCCCCAACTTTCAAAAATGTAGGAATCATTGATCTTGACACTTTTATGATATAAAGAACCTATTGAATAATAACATTTTATGCCTTACATAGAAATAACCAGTAATTATACTGTTTTCATTTGTTCTTTGTATAAAAATTATTTTCTGAAAAAGTTGAAGATATGTTAATATTTTCATGGCCTAAAACTTAAAGTATTCATATGTTGGCATTACATACTACTTAGGCTATAGCTTTGGCGTTTCTAAATAAACATAGCATCTGATTTCAAACAGTTTCAGAAATTGTCTTTGCACCGTAGGGCTTATATAAATGTCATTGATTTTAAATATGAATGTTTTTTAATTTGAAAGACTGATTTGTTATAAATTCTAACATTATTAAAGAATTTTCAGTTTACTGGTAATGTTTACAATATCTGAAAAGTACTGCAACTTTAGAATTGTTAAAAAAGAAGCTCTAATTTATTGCTTACATTTTTAACCATGTTTTTAAAATATATATTTAATGTGATATATTTATTACTCACTGGGTATAAAGAATATATTCCTGAACTGTCAGCTGCAAAGTAAGTTTTTATCTCAAACATTATATTTCATATAATTTTACATTATTAAAAACAAAATGTATTTCTAAAAAGGAAAAAAATTCCCTCATGATGAATTCCAAAATGTGTCCTTATAGCTCATTATTTCTTTAAAGAGTGAAGTTGTCTATAGAGTTGAATTAGTAAAGTTATAAATTAAGAAAGATGTGATTGTCTGACTCTTATGTCAGAATTAACTGAATACTTTAAAAGGAATTCAATCATAAGTTAGTGATTATAGCTGTTGTATTGAGTGAGTGAAGCATATTTTGGTCACTAGTAAGAATCTTACCGGGCCTGAATTTGGAGATGCTTTTATAGTCTATATATAAATTAGATTTTATGAACATAGCCCCTCTTGATCAGTAATGCTACCCTTAAATTTTTAGCAAAAGTTTATGAATGTGGAGAAATGCACAGGAGTTTAAAATTCAGTATATATCCAGATGGTAGTTCTTTTTATAAGTGGGGTGATTTTATGTAACAAAGGTAACTGTAATGTTAAAAATTCTGATGTACAACTACAAAAATGGAAAGTTGTTACTCCATGTATGTGTAATATGTGAAAATACACTCTACTTTTGAGGTCATGATTTAGTTTAAGAGGCACACAAATCTTTTCAAACAATAATATAACTTTTTTTTTTTATTAGTGTTTCAATGTAAACACCAAAACTAAATCATTAAGAGTAATGACAGATGGGGTTGCAATTGTGGCTTGGTGGTAGAGCACTTGCCTAGCATGTGTGAGGCACTAGTTTTGATTCTAAGCACCACATACAAATAAATTAAATAAAGGTCCATTGACAACTAAATATTAAAAAAAGAGTTTGACATAAATGATTAAGTCTAGTTATTAAGTTAGACTATAAAATTTAGAATATGATACTAGTTTTTCTGGCACCATAGTAATACCATGATAACAGCACCAAATCTACAACTTCATCATAAATCTTACCTCATTTGTCAGTTTATTGAGTTTATTACATACCATGATTTTTAAAAAGGAACCAAACATCAATGGTGAAATAAAATGAAACTTCATATATATGCCATCAATATGACTTGTTAGCAATTTGAGGAGGAAAATTAGTTTAGATCTGATACTATATACCAAATATACTTTGAATTGTTTAATCATAGAGTAACCAAAAAATAATATATTGTCAGTGCTTTAACAGAAGGATTACTTTAAGCTCAAAAAATATTTGCAGTGACCATTAGCAATAAGGGTATATTGTCTAATGGAAAGAACTTGTAAAAATTGGTTAGAAAAACATAGAAGACCTCAGTGCTGGAATGGACATAAATATGTAGTTGTAGCAGGTAGGATGATACTGGACTAATAAATAAATAAATAAATAAATAAATAAATAACCCCCCCACCCACCCACACACACAAAAAAAAACCCTGCTGAGAATCCAAAGAATGAAAATTAAATTGTAACTAGAGTCTATTACCTACTTTTTAAAATTATATGAAATTATAATTGCCAGTGCATATGCAGGTAGGATGATGCTAGCATACTCAGGCACTGCCAGCTGATACAAATTTAACACAAATTTGAACTTTGATTTTGGGAAGAAATTTTATACTGTAATTGGAATCAATCAGATTTTTTTTAGTAGTTGTACCTTCTGTGAATCTTTGTTAAAGTAATAATCATATGGAAAAAGCTGAATTCAAGAATAAGATCATATTTATAGTATCAAAAAATTGCAACAACCTAATGAAAAATGATTTGAAGTAAATTTTGGCAGCTTGATAGACTTAAGTACTACTTAGATTATATTTATGAATTTCTATGGAAAAATAGAAAACAATGTGCCCATTATGATTCTCACTTGTAAAAACAAGTGTGGGGAAAAGACCATAAAGAAATACTGTGTGCATCACAGTGGCAACAGTGGTTGTATTAGTGGATGTCTTCACCTCACTTCCAAAATTTTGTAATGTAGTTATATTAATCCATTTTATGGTGGTTGTCATTTTGGGAAAATTCAGAAAAACTTGATTGTAGTATCTGTAGGTTTTATTGCTATGTGAATGCTATTGAATATTAGTTTTATTGTTAATTGTCTTTAAATCAGCAGCTCATTAGGTGCCAGGTACTGTGCTGAGAGTATTACATAAATTTTCTCCTAGAATCCTCACTGCAACGTTCTAAAGATTGTACACCGTTATTTTTAGTAAAGTAATAGAACCAGGATTCAAATCTAACTAAAAGCAATCTTCAGACTGTTTTTCTAATGCTTTCAAACACATGTGAGTGTGAATCGTCATAGTATCTTTAAAGGGATCTGCCCTTTACAGATTCAGATTCAATAGATGTATTTTAAGCAAGTCAGGTGAACTATGAGAGGGAAAATCTTTACTGCACTCAGATGCTTTCTGTAAACTAACCAATTCAGTTGACTTATTGAAGGAAAAGATCAGAAACCAGTTTGTTTTTGCTTTCAAATCTTATAGATTTTTGAGTTAAACCTGTAAATTAGGAGAGCTCCTTATGATTAATTGATAACTCTAATAGTGGTATTTCACAGATAAGACAGAGATAACAGGACCACTTTGTGCTTAGATTTCTTTTATCCCAAAGAATCTAAGGGAAATGTAAACTTGTTCCTGGTTTTGTAGGGCCCTCACTTAGTAAATGGAACAGAAATTTTGTAATTTCTAATTATGTGTCTATTATTTGAGTCTATTCTTCATAGGAGAAAATATGTATTGGAGAGGAATGTATATCTAGAATCAAATTCATAGTAGTATATTCCTAGTAAATAACCGTGCACTTACTGTTGAATGTGAAGGGGAATCACTTGAAATTTTTACAGAACTATTCAAAAGATCAGAAGGAGAGGCAATTTAGTTTTTCCCATTTAAAAAATAAAATGATAAGAGGTATGTTTATAATGCATTCTAATTCATGCTTTAATTGTATAAAGGCATTTCTTTTGAAGAAGCTCCTGTTTTCTTCTGAGAAGTCATCTTGGCGGAATTGCTCAGGTATAACAGCCATCTTTTAAAACTTTTATTCCATCCTCTATTTTAAAAAAGATCTATGCAGCATTCATCATCAATATTTTAATTAAAATTATCTATCTTAAAAAGTAAATTATCAGTGGGAGTTTTTTTCCTGAGGTTTATTTTTTATAATGTTTCATGAATAGCAACTCCAAATTTTAAGCTGTTTATTTCCAAATTTGATTTTTCTAATAACTAAGAGATAAAAGACAGGGTAGTATGACAGAGAAAAACCTTTGGCCTCTTGCTAAAACATACAATTCCTAGAACTTTGTGATGATAGTATACCATAAATAAAGATCATTATGGCCTTTATATTTTGTCTTATTTAGCTCTGGTCGACAGCTCAGAATTATATTTGCATCCCTGCATCTTTTGGTATAATGCCTTACACAATGCAAATACTGCAAATAATTCTCAGTTGAATTGCAAATGGGGCTCTAATAGCATCTGCAATATGATTAAATCAGATCTGTAGTACTACCTGATAATAACAAACATTTGCATTCCACTTGACAGTTTATAAAGATCTTTCCTTCATTTACACAATTTCATGTGAACCTCACAATAACATCTGGAGAAGGTAGGATATATTATGATCGAAGTTTTGTATGTAAGGACATAACAGCTTCCATTCCAAACCATGACCATAGACTGTACTAATGATTTTGAATTTAAGAGTTAAGTTGTCATACTTATATACATATATACTTTGATTTCTGAAATGCAAAATTTTAGTAAACCTATTTAAGAGAGATTTTCATTAACAAATTTTTATTAATAAAATTTGTACTTCTTGTACTAAAATATATTCACTTTGATACAAACTTGTAAAGCATTGTCATAAAGGTCAGAAAGGCTTCAATAATTATAAAGTAGATGACACAGTTCCTGTCTTTAAAGACAGTTTAATTCATTAGGAGAAACAGAAAGCTCCTGGGTCATTGAATATGTATACAGCTTATCCCCTTTATTGGAAAGTTTCAGAAAATTGTACTACTTCTGAAAAGTAACACAGCTTGAGAAAGGCAGGGTTGGCTAAGGTTCAGAGAGAAATGGTCTGTGTGTTCTCATACTCAAATCACTACAATATAGTGTCAGTAACTTATGTATTATATAGCATAACCACAATGGCCTCTGCTAAAGTAATGAATTATGGTCTTATATTTGCTGACAATGTGTTACCTCATTTTTCTTATTCCTGTGGGATAAGATGATAAGACATTAAAATTCAGAAGAAAGGATAAAAATAGAGGTCTCAACAGGCCTTGATGGTTGTGCTTGGTTCTGCAGTAGAGGAAACCTCAGGTTAAATGCTACATTTGCAGCTTCAGAAGCATGATCAGAATCAGATTATTCCAAGTGGCATATTCATAATGTTTAATTCTGCATTTTTCAGGACTTTTTCTATCAATGATAGTATGTAAAGTGATGATGTTTTGATCCTAAAGCACACCATAGAATAATTTACCATCTGTTATTCTTGGATTTTCCACATTCTTAAAATATTTGATTTTCATTATTAAATCAAAACATTTTTACTATTGTTGTTCGTCATGGGATTTTTTTTCTGAAAAAGCTATTAAACTTATACTTTGATTATTTTTAGAGGACGAGCAGAAGGAACTTCTTTGTCATACCTTATGTGATATTTTAGAAAGTGCTTGTTGTGACAACTCTGGATCATACTGCTTGGTTTCATGGTTAAGAGGAAGGACAACTGAGGAAACTGCTAGTATTTCTGGGAGTCCTGCAGAGTCTAGTTGCCAAGTGGAACATTCTTGTAAGATACATTTTTATTTCCTGAAATAACTTCTTATGCTTTTGTTTTAATGAAACTTGAACTTTTTGAAGAAAATATTTTTTAAATTTCATAACATCTTTTCTAATCAAAGCTTAATTAATAAATCTTAATATTTTCTATTTACCTTTTGATTTTAACTACTAGTAGATATATTTTTGCAAAAAAATTATCTCATAATAATCTTTTAAAGTTATAGATAACTTCTGCTTGACAGCAATCTCCCTTGAGCTTCAGAACTCTTATTAAGAAAGTTAAAAGAACAAAAATCTGTATACTTTAATTTCAAATGCCTTAATGTTATTCTTTAAGCATTGAAAGTAAAGGAGACATTTGATATCAGTACATTTCTTTTCGTTAGCTGCTTTCTAGAGCAAAGATGGGGATATTTTTTCTTAATTACATGCTGTTTTTTTGCTCCCAAACTTTTTGGTCATTGTTATATATGTGGATTATTTTAAGGTAATTTTAATTATTTCTAAAGTTTTTCATACAGCTATTCTTTTTCCTACAAATTATGTATTCTGTGGCGTTTAGCTTTTAAAAATTTTTATGTGATTGACCTGAAAACTGTAATGGATGGATTCTTCTCGTGTATGGAAACTAGATTACATAAGAGTTGCTTTTCTGATTCGCAATTGAGGAATAAACTAATAGGTGATTTTTGATAAATGCTTCTAATAGATAAGTGACTTATTTTACATGTAATGCATTCCATTTACTGTCATCTCTATAGAACTTATTTAATAAAATTTGATGCTTTATTTTTAGAAAGTAAATTTTAATTGCTTCTAGAGACATCTTACCTTCCATATAGGATTAGTTGTAAGGCACCTTTGCCTCCTGGACTAAAATGTCCATGTGTTGTCATTGTCTTCTTTCTCTCACCTGTGCAATTAAAATGACATAAATCTGGGAAATTCTAATAGTACATTTGCAAGGAATAATTTTTAAAATTTAGACAGTTGAGTGATGTCCCTTTTTGGGCCCTTTCCAACAGAACTTAATATTTTTACAGCTGATAATGACATTTGAAGACAAGTTGAAAATATTCACAAGGATTATAGTAAAACATATCAATTAATATTGGTTTTGAAATATTTTCTACCTTTCACCAGATTGCATGTAAGCATGTTTAATAGTTCCAGTTAGGATATTAAAAATTTGAGAGGAGAATAATTAAACTATTTAAAAGGCATTCTAAGGAAAATATACTTAAAGTCAGTCTATAATTATATGAGAAACTGTTAAAGCACTTTTTAATGTGATATTTTTCATTAGGATCTTAAAAATATGCTGTGTGCTCACCATGGATTCTGCTATGCATCCTATAGTGATAGGTTAAACTGCCCTGATTATATGCCCTTATCATGCACGGGGTTTGCTACTTTAGTAACTAATTTAAGTGGGCATTATATTGAATTCCCCTTCAAAAGACAGGCTACAATAATTTTCCAGTTTGCTTTGTGCCTCATTAAGTTGACATGACATAAAACCATATCTGAACTCCATTTTAAATTTTGTATACATTTGAACTGTTTTGTTAACTGAAAATTTGAGAGCTTACTTTAGATAATGAACTGAATTTAAATTAAAATTTTTATTCCATATAACAATCTATTTTTACCTGTTCTTTATTCCCAGTTCTCTTCTTCTTGTGTTTTATTTTTCACCATCCCTGCCTGCTAAGCTTTTTATTTTGCTTGCCTTTTTTCTCTAAATTACTATCTTTATGTCCACTTGAATAGTATACCTAGTAAAATTATTGTGATAATCAAGCCCTTTGGAAAAAGTAGTCTAGATTTTTTAATTTATCCTAAAATTGCAAATGTGAAGTGTTTTCTCCTTCATTAATATTACATTCTATACAAACATTAATTTCATTGGCTTATGTGGTGTGTATATTTTTGGCTTGTTGGTAATGCACACTTGTTTGCAGTAGTGAATACTTGGGTTCAATTTCAGTTTGTTTCCCATATAAACCTAAAGATTATTTAAATTAATCCATTTGGCCTTCTAAAGATTTTTTAAAAATTACTTGAAACATTTGAAAATTAAAACTGTGCTTTGTAAAGCTAGCATAATGTAATATTTTTAAATTGTCAGGAAATTTTTAAAATTTTGAACTCATAATGAATCAATTTCCCAAATTCACAAGAATGTATATTTTAAGCTATTAAGATTCACTTTATAAAATTCTAAAATTGTTCATTGTGAAAAAGTAGTCATTGTATTCAGTTATTTTGAAAGACTTTATCTTCTAGGAGCCAAGACTGAGTTTAAATCTCAGCTATATGTTCTTGAGAGAAGTCTTCTCTGTACCTCATGTTCCTCTTCTGTAAAATGGAGAACAGAGGGTCCATATAATGATTAAAGGAGGTCAGACCTGGCACTTGGAAAGCATTTAAGCATCACCTTTGATTAAAATTCTTTCTTTGATTTCTTGGATATTTTAAATTTATACTTGTACTATATTAATAGTATAATCTACATTACTGAAAACTTCTCAACAATTACACGAATTTAAATACAGAAACAAACTTAAAGCTGTTGTTGAACCTGTGTAATTTCAGTGCTATGCCTTTTTATAAACTTTTCTTTAATAATGAAGCATTAAACTTAAAGATCTTATATTATAAAGGAGGAAGCTGATGATTTTACTTGGAACCATAAGCTGAAAGATAATTTGAAAGTGAAGGGCACATGACAATGGTGTATGAAGCACTGATTGTCATCAGTTTCTCCTTTTTTATAAAATGTCCTAGTGTAACTGAATTGAAAATAAATGTCTGTTATTTACCCTTCTACATTCTCAGTATTATATCCATTTTAGTTATAACCATTGTAACTAAGACATTGAAATATAAATTCATGTTATAGTAGACACTAAACAGAATCTTAAGGGAATAAAAGAAATAGGGAAATTTTTTTATTGCTTGAAAGTATTTACAGCCTGCTGTGTGTATCTTGTGTCATTTATTTGCCATGTGTAGTGCTGAAAAGTGTCTTTTATGTATAGCTGCCTTGGCTGTCGAAGAGCTTGGCTTTGAGCGATTTCATGCATTAATTCAGTAAGTAACATTGGAACATTTAAAATACTTACTTTGTGGACACATTGCCATTCTAAGTCTGTTCATACTGTGGATTCTTAGATTGATATAGCACTGTGCTACTTAAACACAAATTTAAAATCCCTTGCTTAAGGATTTTTTTAACTAAAAAACTATAATTTATGTGTATATTTAATTATTTTAAGTCCTGAATTAGCTATCCAAGCACACTTAAAAAAAATTAAAAGCTTTTCATCATTACAATGAAAAAAATATGTTAGCCTAATGTTTTTCTGACTTGAATTAATATAAAATTTTTTAGTGGATAACACTAGAATTATTGCCTGTGTACCAGAATTTTTCTTTAATATTCAAAATGCCTATTTCATTAAAGTGTTTAAAATTTTGTTACAAAATAAAAGGTAAGGATGGCTATGTTGATAGATTTATAGGTGGCATTGGGAATTAATTTCTTAGAAAAGAAGCCACAAATGCATACAATAGTTTTAGCATTGAGATAATTGTTAAATAATTTTCAGGCGTTAAGAGATAAAATTTTCATCATTATTAAACACTTCTTTAAAGAGAGCCACTCTATTTTCTAAAAAAAACCAAAATGTATATTAAAGAATTTTATTGATGCCAGGCATTTCACCTAAAAGATGAAGAGGGTCCCCTACCAAGTAGATGGTTTGTTTTAATGGTATATACTGTATATAGTGGGAGTTGGCAGAAATAAAATTTGCTTTTAATAGCTAAACTTGTATTTGAAAGTTCGAATACTTATAAAAATCTCCTATTTATATGTATGTTTTAATGTATAAAACAATTTAAATTTTTCCCACTTGTGAATGTAGTAGATCTCATTATGTTACTAATACTTAATTATTTTTCCCCCCCAGAAAAAGATCATTCAGAAGTTTATCAGAATTAAAAGATGCTGTCTTGGACCAGTATTCAATGTGGGGAAACAAATTTGGAGTATTGCTTTTTCTGTATTCTGTGTTACTGACAAAGGTTTGTTTAAGAAGATGTTTCTTCTGCCCTTTATTAGTTTAGTACTGTTTATCCTGCTGTGATAAGTAATTTTTTGCCTGCTTCTGGTGCTTCTAAATCTCAAAATAAAAATCACTTAGGCTGATAATAAGAAATTAACTCACATTTTCTCTCCATTCACTTGTTACTTAACCACTTTCAAACTTTCATCTCTGCTTTTCTGTACTACAGAAGTTAGCAATGATAATCTTTATGAAATAGTGTCAGTTCTTATGAATTTTGCTTTCTTTGATCTTAGCAGTTTTTGGCATTGACCCCTTATCCCCTTCTGGGACTCCCACTTTTTTTCTTAACTTATCAATCATTGTGCTAGTTTTCTTCTTATGTCTCACAATTCTTTATGTTGTTGCTGCTGTTATTTTCTTCGATAGCTTCTTTCTTTCTTAGGTATTTTCTTCTTTCCTTCTGAATTTTGATATTCCCTATATTTCATTCTCTGGATTCGGTATGCTTTTTATTTTGTGAATATCTCACTCTCTCAGCTTAGCTTTATGTGTTTCATTCCAATATGTATACTTCTAATCCTACCGTTTTTCCTCAAATGCCAGTTTTATATTTCCAGTCACTTGTTAGTCTCAGTTGAATATGCTAATAGATATACAATGCCTGAAATCAATTTTTTTTCATTTGAAAAATGTTTATTGAGCATTGACTTTATGCTGGAACTTGTGCTAATAGTGTGATATATTTTTAATGGCTCTATTCAATGTTGTAAAAAATTACATGTAAATAATTATTTTCTGGGACTGAAAATTGGTGCAACCACTATGGAAAGTAGTATGGAGATTCCTCAGAAAACGGAATGAAATCACCATCTAACCCAGCTATCTTACTCCTTGGTTTATACCCAAAGAATTTAAAAATCAGCATACTACAGTAATGTCAATGTTTATAGCAGCTCAATTCACAATAGCTAGACTATAGAAGCAACCTAGGTGTCCCTCAATAGATGCATGGATAAAGAAAATGTGGTACATATACTCAACAGAATATTACTCAGCTTTAAAGAAAAGTGAAATTATGGCATTTTCCAGTAAATAGTTGGAGTTGGAGAAGATCATGCTAAGCAAAATAAGCCAATCCCACAAAACCAAAGGCCAAATATTTTCTCTAATATGCGGATGCTAATTCACAATAAGGCGGCGGGCACTAGGGAAGAATAACATTATCTTAGATTAGGCAGACGAAAGTGAGGGGAGGAGAGGGGAGGAGAGGGGATGTGGGGATAGGAAAGATAATATAATGAGACAGACTTTATGTATGTATATTTATGACTACATGACCAATATGATTCTGCAACATGTACACTCAGAAAAATGAGAAGTTACATCCCATCCAGGTATGATATATCAAAGTGCATAAATGCATTCTACTGTCATGTATAACTAATTAAAACCAAAAATTTTAAAAAACAATCATTTTCATTATGGCAATGGGTTTGGTGTTTAATTGTATGTGCAAAGAGTGGTAAGAAAATAGAAGATATGCCCAAGTTTATCAAGTTGAATAATGGGCCCACATTTTATAGTAGGGATCACTGATGGATGTAGGAATTTTATGAATGAATAAAAGTTTTGTGTAAGGAAAAGCTGTAATAATTTCCAAGCAGTGGGAGCAGCAAGTCTCAAAGCATAAGGTTTGAGACAACATAAGTTTTTGGAAACTATAAATACTCAGCATTACTCCAGCATAATATGCCATATAGCTAATGTGAAAGATGAGACTGAATACTTACATAAAGAAGTCTCCAAATATGAAGGTCCTTGTATATCATTCAAAAAATACTTCAGGTTTCATCTGCTCAAAATTGACAGAAAAAAAAAAAGTTGAAGAAAATAACAAAATCTTTTTATTGATAAAAGAACCCTTAAATTGGAATAAATTTAATGAAAAGATTTGTTGTATGAATAAAAGTCTAGAATAAAGGTAACCAGAAAAGTGGGTATTGGAACAGGTGAAGCCTAAACCAGGACAATGACCATAGAGTGAAAAAGAAAGAATATATTTAGAGATGAATAATAGAAATAAACCAAATATTTATTTGACTTACTGAATATAAATGAAATAACCAAAAGCACTTGGGAATTGGGTAGTTGTTAGAAATGGCACTAATGGTGATGTCTAAGATGATTGGTTCCTTCTTAATAGTACATGGTTCTCATTTTTCAGATATATATATCTGAAAAATTTGGCTGCTTCCTCTCTCTCACCTTTTACAGCCAATAAGTTATCATGCTATTTGTTTTTTGAGCTACTCTTTGAAATGATACCTCCTTCCACCCCAGTGACTGTGCCCCTTGTTTCTGTTATTTATTTTGACTTTATCATAACTTGCTTTGTGTTTACAAGGATGGCAAGTGCAAGATCATACAAACTTTTGTTTCCCTACAATGTTTACACAATCATTAAATGTTCCGATATTTGATTAGTCAGTTATTTATGTAATTTTTACAACCAATAATGTGATAGTACCAGTGGTTAAAATTAGGTGAATAGCACAATATGTGTCAGTTTATCTGTGTCATTTTGGAGTTGGTGAGGTTAAAATACCTAGATCTTGTACTCATCCCCCATCTAGAACTTTTGCAATTTTGGTGTCCTTTGGCGAGATTTAGTATAAGGAAACTGGTTTTCAAGAAAATAAACTTTGTGTCCTCCTAATTTACATTTTATTTTGTTGCTATACATTTGAATTGCCAATATTTGGGGAAAAGCCTGATCAGAAATAAACTTTTCATTTTTTATGTGCCAGTTACATCTTTTGTATATTTAATATCTGTTGAAAATAATATGTGGATTTGTTTAGTACTGATAAGTTTTTTAATGACCTAAAATAAAATGAGTTGTTTTAGTGGGTATACTAGGTTTTAATTTAATTTAGCCTAAAGTAAATATTAACTTTTGTATTAAATAAACTTTTTCTTCTTCTTGAATGTTAAATGCTCTCTCTATCCTCTCTAATGAACAATGGATTTATTATCTATGAGTCTATTAGTGTTCTTTATGCAGAGCCCATGAAAGAAAATGTTTTGAGGAACTACTGCTTATAGTTATCTCAAATGTACCCCATTTCAAAGCTGAGTAATTCTTTGAAAGAAAGATTATGTAAATGTATTTTTTTAGAGTTATAAACTGGTCATTTTTTAAACTACCGTAATTTCCATTTTTGTTTTTAAATTAATTCTGTGAATTCTTGTTTTTTTTTTTTTTTAGGGCATTGAAAATATAAAAAACGAAATTGAAGATGCAAGTGAACCTTTAATAGATCCTGTATATGGACATGGCAGGTAATTAACCAAACTCTCTGATCTCCTTTGAGAATTTTAGTTTTTAGGAACTTAAGGTAAAATGTAAGTGAGGCAGATCAATTTCTGTCAGTAGTGTTGACAGCATGGAGTCTGTGGGTTTGAGCAGTCTTGGGCTTTCTGCATTGCTTTATGGATTAGATGTTAACTTCCGGTTGACAATGCATTGTGTTAAGTTTTTAAGATAATAAGAGGTATTTTAAACAAATTCTGCTTTGTTTCATTTATGAAATTTTTTTAAAAGATAGAATTTACTATTTTGAATTTGAAACAACATCCTTACCTATTGAAAATGGTTTCTTCTTGGGAGGAAAAAAAAAATCCCATTTCCTCTGAGGCCACCTTCCTCTCAAGGTTTTTTATAGCCCATTTTTAACAAAATTAATAGAACATTGATAGATCATCTGCTTTTTCTTTTTTTCTTTCTTTCTTTTTTTTGTACTGGGGAACGAACCCAGAGATACTTTACCATTGAGCTATATCCCTAGTCCTTTTTATTTTCCTATTCAGAGTCTAAGTTGCTGAAGATCTTGCTAAGTTGCTTGCCCAAGCTGGCCTTGAATTTGCAATCTTCCTGCCTCAGCCTCCCAAATTGCTGGGATTACAGGTGTGTACTATCACACCGAGCTGATAGTTAATTTACCTAATACATGAATCCTTCTTTTTAGACCATTCTGCCTCAGAGGTTAAATTCACATATCTTCGATCAAAGACAAAACACATTAATAATTACCTATTTTTAAAGATGATAGTTAATTATCTATCATTTTTAATTCATTTAAATATTAGATATCTTAAAAGTTGTTGAATTCATATGATTATATAGAATAATAGTTACCATTGTAGCAATGCATTTAACAAGACTAATTATATAAAATGGAAAATATACTCCCTCTATTTGTTATTTCTTAACATGATTTCATGTAAAAAATTACTTTATCCCTTACCATAGGGATCAATTACTTGACTTGCAGACTAGGTTTATCCATATTTTAATTGCTTTTTTTAATTCTTATTAATAGCCAAAGTTTAATTAACCTCCTACTGACGGGACATGCTGTTTCTAATGTATGGGATGGTGATAGAGAATGCTCAGGAATGCGTAAGTATATTTGTTTGTGTTTGCTTTATTATTAATACTTCAGTAGAACACAGTTGATTATTATTCATCTATGTAGTGGCTGCACATGATTTAGAAGTTAAGGTAAGTGCTTTCTGATAGAAGAATCCTCTATAGTTGCCAGGACACCATGTCATCAAGGATATAAATTCAGAGCCAAGCAATATTGGGGTTCACTTCCAATCAAGTATGGCTTTTGTTGGGCTGTTGAAGCACTCAGGCCTTTTATATTCTCTAGTATGATATTGGGATTATAGGACTAACTTCTTGAAAAAAATAACTCTATACAGATAGAACAGATTTATTTGGAGACATATTGCTATTGTTGCTTTAAATGGAGGAAAATTACAGGTTATAGTGATCTGAAATATTTACCTGAAGATCCTAGTGGGTTTTCCTATTACTTTTAATAAGCATAATTTCCTTTAAAATGCTGGGCAAATTTCATTTTATTACTGTTCAGAATAAATTTTTTTATTAAATAACTATTATATTAAATAACTACTGTTTGCCTCTTATTGAAATGTTTAGAGTAGGATGCGAAGCCAGATAGTTCCTTTAATTCACAGGCAAATTTATTATACAATTTTTTTTCTAATTTGTAATTACATAAAACTCACCAAACAGCAAAGCAAATGTTATGATTGAGAAAATAAGTTACTACTTTTTGTTCGCATTTAAATGATTCTTAAATTTGAGTTTTTCTCTAATTTTAGAAATATGTATAGTTAACAGAAACATGAAAGTATGCAGTGTAAAGAAAAGTAAAATTTGTGGAATGTCAGAATTTTTAAAACTGTAATGGAATCCAATCATTTTTCTTTTTCAGAAACTTAAGAACTTGAGAACTAACTTCATTTCCATTTTAGTCATTTTTTTAGTTGCTATACCAAAAGACCTTTCAAGAACAATTTTAAGGAGGAAAAGTTTATTTTGGGGGCTCACAGTTCAGAACTCTAAGTTTATAGAGGGCTGATTCCATTGCTCTGGGCCTGAGTCAAGGCAGAATATCATTATGGAATAGTATGATGGGAAAGTGGCTCAGAGCATCCTACCAGGAAGCTGAGCTCTAGAGAGAACTCTCTTCTCACCAAAGATAAATACATATCCTAAAGGCACACTCAAGTGACCCACCTTCCAGACATACCTCATCTGCCCACAGTTACCGCCAAGTTAATCCTTATTAAGAAGTTCATGTACTGATTGGGTTAGGACTCATAACCTAATCATTTTACCTCTAAACCCTCTTTCATTGTCACACATGTGCTTTTGGGGGCATCTAATATCTAAACCGTAACAATTACCGCAAAATTATTCACCTAGAGGTAAGGTTAGAATGAGAGCCTAGTTTTGCTAATTTTTAGCAAGTGTCACAGCATAAGGAGTGAAATTCATGGGGGGAAAATAGTCATTTTGTTGCTCTGTTATCTGTAATTAAGCTTATTCTCTTCTTAGAGCTTTATTCTGACATATAGCTGAAAGCATTTGATCCTGCCTATTAAAGGTCTATCAGTCTCTGTCTTGATTATATAGGCAGGTTTCTTTGTTCTCTCTCTGCCTCTCATATTGGCTTCAGCTCATCCCTACTTTCTTCTTGCTTTACAGAATAAGTTTGTTAATTATATAAGTTTTGGTTCTTGATATTTGCAGATTCATCCTTTTCTGATTCTTAAAATATTGCCATTCAAGGCTGCTGTCTTGCTGTGAATACTTTTAAGTATTAAACCAGAGACTCTGTATCTAATAGAAGAAAAAGTGGGCCCTAATCTTCATCATGTGGGATTAGACCCCAACTTCCTTAATAAAACTCCTATAGTGCAAGAATTAAAACCAAGAATCAATAAATGGGATGGAAACAAACTAAAAAGTTTCTTCTCGGCAAGAGAAACAATCTGTGAGGTGAACAGAGAGCCTACATCCTAGAGTAAATTTTTACCCCTCATAACAGATAGAGCATTAATCTCTAGGGTATATAAAGAACTCAAAAAGCTAAGCACCAAAAAACTAAGAACCCAATCAACAAATGGGCCAAGAACCTGAACAGACTCTTCTCAGAAGAGGATATACAATCAATCAACAAATATATGAAAAAATGTTCATCATCTCTAGCAATTAGAGCAATGCATATCAAAACTACTCTAAGATATCATCTCACTTCAGTCAGAATGGCAGCTATTATGAAGACAAACAACAGTAAGTGTTGGCGAGGATGTGTGGGAAAGGTACACTCATACATTGCTGGTGGGACTGCAAATTGGTGCAGCCAATATGGAAAGCAGTATGGAGATTCCTTGGAAAACTGGGAATGGAACCACCATTTGACCCAGCTATCCCTCTCCTTGGTCTATACTCAGAAGACTTAAAAACAGCATACTATAGGGACACAGCCACATCAATGTTTATAGCAGCACAATTCACAATATCTAAACTGTGGAGCCAACCGGGATGCCCTTCAGTGGATGAATGGATTAAAAAAAATGACATATATACACAATGGAATATTACTCAGCAATAAAAGAGAATAAATTCATGGCATTTGCAGGTAAATGGATGGCACTGGAGAAGATAATGCTAAGTGAAGCTAGCTAATTCCAAAAAAATGCTGAATGTTTTCTGTGATTTAAGGAGGCTGACTCATAGTTGGGTAGGGAGGGGGAGCATGTGAGGAATGGATGAATTATAGATAGGGCGGAGGGGTGGGAGGGAAAGGGAGAGGGCAAGGGATTAGCAATGATGGTAGAATGTGATGGTCATCATTATTCAAAGTACATGTATGAAGACACAAATTGGTATCAACATACTTTATATACAACCAGATATGAAAAATTGTGCTGTATACTTGTAATAGAGTTGTAATGCATTCTGCTGTCATTTATTTAAATAAATAAATAAAAATAAAAATAAAATTAAAAAAATCAAAGTTCAGCAATAACTTTGAAATATTTTGGAAAAGAAAATAGGAAGAGTATATTTTTTACATTTTCCCTTAATCATTAGGAATATTGACTTGAAGTTCAGTTAACTGAACTTAAGATCAAAATCAATACATTCATTTGGCATTTATTGGATTTGTTTCCTGATAACATGGTTGGAGATATGTACTATAGGAAAAATTAGAGTTACTACTTTAAAATGCTTAGACAAGTCACATTACTTCTCTTAGCTTTAGTTCTTTTTTCATATAATATGAAAGTAATATCTTCCTCAAAGGGTTGTAAAAGTTAAGATCAGATTTCCAAATGTCTACACTGGCTAATAGAAAAACCTGTTTTCCCTCAAATGCTTATACACCTTGTCCTAGGGAGACTAGAACATGTAAGCAAGTAACTGTGGAATAAGGTCAAATGAAGCATTTTGAAATTAAGTACCACAGACATTCAGAAGGAGAAATTTTATGGATTTAGCTTGTGGGAAAGTAGACTTCAGGAGTGAACATTTTAATAGCCATACAGAATGAGCAGAAAGGCATTTGGGAGAAAGTGCAGTTATATTTAGGAATGAGGAGGCAGAGCAGTTAGAATACAGTAGTGTGGTTTTTAATTCTAACTACACATCATCATTTGGGGAGCGTAAAAATATATGATATTGGGCATGGTGCTGCATGCCTATAATCCTAACAGATTGGGAGGCTGAGGCAGGAGAATTGCAAATTCAAAACCAGCCTCAGCAATTTAGCAAGGCCCTAAGCAACTCAGTGATATAAATATTAAAAAAGGGCTGGAGATGTGTGGCTCAATGGTTGAATGACCATGGGCTCAATCCCCGGTACCAAAAATAAAAATATATGAGTACTCAGAGTCCAACACGGAACAATTATATTAGAACTCTAGATGGTAGGCCATGGGCATATAATCTAAAATTTATCTTAGATGATTTTTGATATGCATCCAGGTTTGAGGAAAAAGTGAATTAGACTAGTAAGAGGCAGGATTATCAACCTAGGATAGGGTAAGAACATAGAATTTCTAGAAAGCTATAAAGTCTAAGCCTTTGTTGACAAGTATTAGAAGAAGTCATTGAAAGTATTGAACAGAGAAATCAAAACCCTTAACCTGAGACAAGATTCACCTGATTATCTCAATAGATGCTACAAAAGCATTTGACCAATTACAGCATCCATTTGTGTTCAAAACACTAGAAAAACTAGGATAGTAGCAACATACCTCAACATTATAAAAGCTATGTACATTAAATCCAAAATCAACATCATTTTGAATGGGAAAAAAAATTGAAAGCATTCCTGCTAAAAAATGAACAAGATAAAGATACCCTCTTTCATCACTCAAACTATCTCTGTTTGCTGACATGATCCTATATTTAAACGATCCAAATACTCTATTAGAAAACTTCTAGAACTTTTAAACAAATTCAGCCAAGTAGCAGGATATAAAATTAACAATTTTAAATCAGTTGCACCAATGATGAATCAACGGAAAGAGAAATTAGGAAATCTATATCATTCACAATAGCCTCAAAAAAACCTGGGAATCAATCTAACAAAAGAGATGAAAGACCTACCATGAAAACTACAGACCAGTAAAGAAAGAAATTGAAAACCACCTTTAGAGGATGAAAAGATCTCCTATGTTCTTGGACAGGCAGAATTAATCTTACTACTACAGATACTATTCAGATGTAACACAATTCCTATTGACAGTCCAATGATATACTTTATAGAAATAGAAAAGGCAGTTATGAAATTCATTTGGAAAAATAAGAGCCTCAGAATAGCCAAAACAATCCTTAGTGAAAAAAGTGAAGCAGGATGTGTCATAGTACCAAACCTTAAATTATACTACAGAGCTAGTAACAAAACAGCATGGTACTGCCACCAAAACAGACATGAAGACCAGTAGTACAGAATAGAAGACACAGACACACCCACATAAATATTTATCTCATACTAGAAAAAGGTGCCATAAACATACATTGGAGGAAAGATAGTCTTTTCAGCAAATGGTGCTGGGAAAACTGGAAATTCA